GGAGATTTGCTTATTACAGATGCACAAGAGTAATCAATAGGGATTACCATCGTACCGAAATTAATAGTAAATATGTCGCATTTCATCTTCACACCAACCCAGTGTGTCCAGTAACAACGTATGGTACCATGGAAACGATGTTGCGTAATGAGCTAGAGAGCCTAACATTTTCTGTACACATTTAAAAATCTACTACAATTTATAATCAATCGTACGACCCCCACGTGAAGTATGTACATAAGTACATACTACGATGAAATAGTAGTTCAGAAATACTTCATTTACATACAAGATCTTCCAGCAATTCACGATAGAAGCATCGTTTCGCCGAAAATTTTGTGACTGATGCTACAAAATTAAATCGCATGACAACTGGAAACACTATTTTATTCAGCTAGAGAAATATATTCTCTCTTCAAATATGCAAGCTTAGAATGAAATACCATGAAATGACGTAGCTTTTTTACCAGCAAAATTATAAAGTTTCCTTTAATTCTGAGCAACATTTTTAAGCCTTATTTTCGTAAATTCCAGGTATTATGTGCATAGATGCATGATTGTGAGAAAATATGCATACATACCGTAAATACTGTATTTATAGCTGGGTCTTGAGCCCAAGTTTCTACCAATTAATAAGCTTGGGTCTAATTATGTCATTCCCGTAATGTCCGTTCTTTAATTCTTCAAGATTACAGAAAATCTAGCCGAGTCTTCAATTATATCCGGTTTGTATTTGTAACCTGATCTGTGATGTCTTTAGACCCGGCAATAAATTTAATATCTCCGGTATTTGTATATATGTACTTTCTCCCTGTCAGCATCCCATAGCAATTAAAAACTTTCCCTCTCTACCTGACGAGCAGATGGACGCCCTCCTTCCCAGCCTCCTCCAGCCCAGGGATCGCGGTCACATCGAGACACTGGACGCACCAGTTGGTCGTCTGCGGTTGCCAGGCGAGGCATTCCCGAAACTAGTTCCACCCCCTCCGCGCCTTCTGGCACCCTCCCCGCCAAGCGTACACGATCTCCAGTCGCAGCCACACCAACCACTCCAACACGGTCTGCATACAATCCGGCATGGCGATGACGACGAGAAAGCGATCACACAATGAAAATTTGGAATTCGAAATAAAATTTGAAGATGTTTCAGGTTATTTAAATGATGACAATTAACAAGATTTGGACTGATATGGGACTCGATTAAAGGTGAAAGTTGGAGTGAGAATTTTCTTCCAGGGAAGGTTTTTGCATAGGGTAAAGATAGACGAAAAACAAGCCTACGTGGCAAATGGTGGATGCATCATTGGAATTAGTGACCATTGTTTCCGTACTGGTCAGTGTATGTAAGCAATATTTAAGACGGTGAAAGTACATATGCCGACTGTGAAATGATACCAGTTCAACCACGAAGCCAGGCAGAAACAAAGGTAGACAATTTTTTAGGAACAAAGGATTTCGTTTGGCATACGGTGGGGAACGTTCACTAGGTTTGCAATACAGTGTGTGTCCAAGGAGTCATGATTTTTAAAATTCGTCTGAATTTGTTACATCATATTTATAAATTAAATGTAATACGATTTAAATTTACCGTTTCCTTAATTCCTCTTTAGATGGGTACATAATATATGAAAGATCTCTGAATCCTGGAAATATTTCCTGCTAAATGAATGCATATGTACATATTTATGTATGTACATACATATGTGCATATGTATGTATTTATGTACTTGCTTAATGCCTTTCTTACAGTTAGCATGCACTTCATGTTTTCCAAAATACTGATATCTACTTGGGATTATGCCATATGCTGTGTTCATAGATACATGTGCAAAGATTTTATATAGGGCTAAAATTTCCTCTTGCTTATGACATATACATTAATTCATACGTAACAATTGTGTACATGCATAACTTTTAATTCGCATTAGAGATTAAAAATGTGAGAGTGCTCAGGAAAGCAATCTTGATAATCTTGAACTTGGGTACTTGGATCCTAAATTTCTTTATGCAAGCCAGCTAGACATGTAAGTGCATCATGTTTAAACGTGGTATTTAAAATATATGTCACTCGTTATTGATAGATGTAAGTACATGCATACTCGTACGATGGACAGTACGAGTAGTTGTAAATAGTTCAAATCCTTAGTAAGCCAGGAAGCGCATAGGGTGTGATTTTTAATGTTAAGACCACTATGATATTTCTAAGCAGCGCAGTTCGTGCTTATTCAAATCGAATGGTATTATGCATGGTGATGAGTGATATCACTACCAGTTCTGGTGGTAAGTTTGGGTTGAGTAAGTTAGGAATTACCGGGGATATGGAGGAATTGCTGAAAAGTAGGTGAGCCAAAATGATAAGACCACCGCCGAATTTTAATTCTTACTCGTTCCTCCTTTTGTTCAGACGGTAAAACTAAACTAATTCCACGATAGGAAGGTGAAATCATTCAAGTACTGCAACTTGGCATCCAGGAAAAAACCGGAAGTGAGATTTCAAGACGTTTTTCCCAATCAAAAACGGCAATTCATCATTATATCAAACAAGGCGCAAATTACTCGACCACAATAATTGGTATGTGTTCAGAAGTCACACTGGACCTGACGAACGGTAAATTGTGAAGTTTTCTAGCGTTGAATAGCCATTAACCCGAGAAATAGGGCACATTTCAAATGACAAAATTTCCATTAACACATGTTGGCGCGTTTTATGGAACTTTCCTTGCTTTAAGTGGTACAAATAGGTCGGTCAGCCACCACCAGCGAATATGCATAAGCGGGTGAGAGGTGAATTTGCTCGAAAACATATTTCCTGGAACATAGGGGGACGTAAGCTCATGTTCACGGGTAAATAGAAATGAAATTTTGTCGTACCTGCCGGGTACAAATTTTACTGGTACGATCTGCGATAAGAACCTCTATATTTCAAGCATGGACAGGTGGAAAGGTGTTACAAAAACCTAATGCCAAATTTTAAACCGTTAGTCACACGTTTATGCTCCTCTGCATTCTTATAATAATGTACAAAATTAAAGTAGCTGATCGGTGATGGTTTAGTATGAATTGTAGCAATCCTTATGCCACTGTCTGTCCGAAGAACTATGTTATCGAGCAAATTCATGTCTCACCCGTTTATGCATATTCGCTGGTGGTGGCTGACCGACCTATTTGTACCACTTAAAGCAAGGAGAGTTCCATAAAACGCGCCAAAATGTGTTAATGGAAATTTTGTCATTTGAAATGTGCCCTATTTCCCGGGTTAATGGTTATTCAACGCTAGAAAACTTCACAATTTACCGTTTGTCAGGTTCAGTGTGACTTCTGGACACATACCAATTATTGTGGTCGAGTAATTTGCGCCTTGTTTGATATAATGATGAATTGCCGTTTTTGATTGGGAAAAACGTCTTGAAATCTCACTTCCGGTTTTTTCCTGGATGCCAAGTTGCAGTACTTGAATGATTTCACCTTCCTATCGTGGAATTAGTTTAGTTTTACCGTCTGAACAAAAGGAGGAACGAGTAAGAATTAAAATTCGGCGGTGGTCTTATCATTTTGGCTCACCTACTTTTCAGCAATTCCTCCATATCCCCGGTAATTCCTAACTTACTCAACCCAAACTTACCACCAGAACTGGTAGTGATATCACTCATCACCATGCATAATACCATTCGATTTGAATAAGCACGAACTGAGCTGCTTAGAAATATCATAGTGGTCTTAACATTAAAAATCACACCCTAATTCTTGAAGACAATGCGAACCAGTATCGGAGAAAAGACAAAAGGGTTATAATTGACAGGTCGCAAAGCATCGATAGAGTTTGTACATATGCATGAACTCATAAATATCTGGATTTTTGTCCACTCTTTTGCTGAGAATGAATCTCATGTACTTTTATTCGACACTTTTTTCATCCTAAATTGGTTCACATTGGATAACATTCTTTCCCCAAGTGATACATGATTCACTGCCCATGTTCCAAAGATTATGCTGGGACATTGCGGGGATCTCATTTGCACACATTTCCTAAGATGCACCTTTAAGTTAAAAATCCGTCTCCACAAAACGATGTTGTAAATGTTAAGAGTTTCAACACTTAATTTTACTTCAGATTTATTTAAAATGATGTTTCATACGTGAAGATGACAAATATATTGGAAATACAAATTGGATCAAAATTGATAATGTTGCTAATACATACGTAATACTAAAGCTTCAAAATCACATACGCATTATTACGCATGTACATATTTACGTGCATATGTATGTACGTATCGATAAGCATGCATATATAGGAAACGAGAAACTCTTCATGCGTGAGCATTTTATTATCAAGTATAGAAAAGAAACGTACTCTCCCCTGACAGTGGTCATTAGAAAAAAAACAACAGAATTCCATCCATGCACATTTCAAACGACCAGAACATATTTAGTAATAGGCATGGCCAAATACATACAAGTGTGTGTACATGTGTCGCAAATACTGCGAACTGAATGCATTTCTTACATTTTGCATGAAATATGTATACTTTTCATGGATTCACAAACCAGCGTGCCCCTCCCACTAACTCAACACAATGAACGATCCCAAGTTTCAACGCTTCTGGACATTGACTGCTCGCACATGGGGTTTAGCTATCAAAATGCATAATACGGTGCAAACAATGATGAAATCAGTGAGATTATATCTACAAATACATACATATGTTTTTAAAGACGGATTTTTATAGAAAAAAACTTGTACGTTTTGGAATTTAAGACGTCGCACGTTTCAAAAAACACTTCACGTAGTTTAACATTTGTTAGTTTTCCTATATATGTTTATATTCGTGTGTGTACATTACGTGAAATTGAAAGAAGTTGTCAATTTTTAAAATTTATTCCAGGCCTGTCTTATGTACACAGTTTGCAATTTTATTTATAAATATTTGAATACATACCTACCCACTAAATTTTGAAATACATGAATGCATACATAAGTAGCATTAGACCCAATAATCTCCATATTTTTATCTATTTATTTCTATTCAACTTTACACAATTATTCAGACAAATACCAATAAACATCTTTCTCAATCTGATCTTCCACTTTGAAAAGTGTTGCACTATTCAGCCAATATTTCCACTAAATTTCCTGAAAGGTGTAATACACCGTTTCAGCAGTTTGGAAAAAGTTGTCCCTTTTTCACAGTCAAATTCACCGACTGGTGCGATAGAACCAAAAGCACTGTCATACTCACGATAAATGCACTGCGGAATCCAGGTACTTTTTATGAAAGTGTATTTGTAAGTAGACGGGTTGCCATCCCCCGGAGCATTATATGCCCGACCAAAATTGCTCTCAGGTCGGCATTGGGCATCAAGTTCCTGACAAGATTGCGTCTTGCTGGAATAAAATATCAATTCGTGTGGATCCCTGGGGTGTCGACAGCGTCTCTTTTTGCAGATGGATTTTGTCCCCGATGGATCCAGGACGAACCACTCGTCCGATTGGCAGGGACCCTGAGTAAATAAATTCAATTTACACTGAATAAGACTTTTGTGAACTACTCAAGGGTTTAAAAATTATGTCAAGCTTCACGCCGAAAAACTTCTCACACCTGAATCACCCACCCTCAGTATTTATAACTTACCTGAGAAAATAGTGCGTAACAAGATTTCGTTTCCGAAGAAAATCCATATGCTCGAAATGCTGAATCCAAATCCCATTCTGACGGCTTCCGCATGCAGTAATATTCAAATGGAGAGGATGGATCATTATCAAAACAGTCGCATTGACAATACCCGAATTCGGGGGAGTTTTGATTATACAACATTTTCATGTAGAGGGGACACGGGCCTTGAAAACCGGTCAGGTAACAACGTGTCGGCGTGCCAAACTTGACCCATGGGTAACCATCGGTTGGACTGTGGGCACGATAATTAGTCATTTTTACGTGGATTTTAAATTTGGGTAGAATTTGTCATTAAAATATTTAACTTGAACCTTGGACACCCCGGACTACTTGAAAGGATGCCTGGTTCATTTGAACGGATTTGAATAAACGATTTGTCCACTTCGATGCCCTCACCGAGTTGATTTTCTGTCAAGCTGTCGTCATTTTGCAGTGCTTTTGCCAATCCGGCATGTACTTGGCGAGGTCCGCCGCCACAATTTGCTTCAGCAAGGAGTACAAAAAGTATGGAGATAATCGGCACGAACATTATGTTAAATGGGTGAATTTTATTTTAACACAATTAAATACTCTTTAATGAATTTTTGAACATTTCACCTTAAAAACAAGTAGTGCACTGGGCACGGAAAGTTAATGTATGCATGTATGCGAGACGAAATTTTTTAAACAATTAAGGAATACGTAAGTTTTTCAGTTCTCAACTGGTACGTACATAAATACATACACATATATGTAGAATGTTTTTTGCGAATATGTAGCTTTGCAATATAAGTATGTATGTATGTATGTATGTGAAAGAGAAAGACACATGTCTATCGGCAATTAAAGGCAAATATGTACCTGTATGTATGGAAGTGTACATATGCATGTATAATCCGCATATTAATTATCTTACGCCGTACACAAGAACAGGTTTGTATTTTCTAAGAATATGTATGTATGTATGTATGCATATTCAATTGTTAAAAGTTTAGCATGTTTTTATCTCTCGTATAACTTGTTACAACTGGACACGAGGCGAGTATTTTCATGTCCAGCCGCATTTAGCTCAATAAGTATATACAAGTAGAAACAGAATGAATATGTTTTTTACTTCGTTAACTTATAATGCATATCTATACATAGATTTAATATTTATGTACATGTGAAAATTCAAATATTCATTTCCTTCAACCCGTATTAAATTATATGTATGCATTATACATATATACCCTCACGTAAACATGTAATTAAGTATCTACATTTGTATGCACATATACATACATACATATGTACATATTTAGAAATAATATACTAGGTAAATACATACGTAGGACAACATTACAAAGGTGAAACAATACAAATTCTGAGGGATCCAGCTTCAAAGTTTTCCTTGAGAAATTCGTGTCATAACATTTCCATGGTTAGTGTTTTGACATGTCGCACAAATCTGTGGGATTTGGGAAATTACCGTTATAATGTGCACTTTTCCCTAATTTGACATGATCCTCACTAACGATACGATAAACCTTCATTTTAATATATATTTATGTATAAATATGTATGTACAACCTTAATTTACTTATTTCCGAACCCCCCTATTCCACTTTTGTTCCGACCCTGCCGCAAATAACGAGTAGAATATGACATCGACCATGTAAATTCCAGCCGCTATGAAAAAAACGTATTGCCAGTTTTGGAGTGACGGCTACAAATAACAATATTAACAGAATGCCTTTAATATTTACGTACATATTTTATATATATGTACCTACATACATGTTTGTAAACATATTTTTAACGTACATCGTTATTGATCATAAGACCACAAAGTCAAGGGGCTCCGAAGCCGGTAAGGGTGGCAAAGGTATTTGTGATTCCCATTAAAATCCCTGCATGCCTGGGTGCCAGGTCCACGTGGTTGCAGATAAACCCTGATGATAAGCAATCATGAATATTAACTAGCATTATAACAAATTAGGTTGGAATCAACACGTGCAACTTAAGTAGGCATAAGTGTATTTTCATGAAAATTCCTCCACATTGAGACGATTATTTTGTGTTATTTCCACACGATAAGAAATGTAGCTTTGTTAGGGAAGGTATATCTCTTGTCGTGTGATTTCATACATATGCAATTAAGCATGACATTATATACCTGTAAGTAACTAACCTGCATAAATAGTTCCATTAATACCCACCGCAATCGTCAAAAATGTCATTGTTGCAATTCGATAACATCCAGAATAACTGGCAGCAATTAACATTACTGCTGCTCCCAGGTGGGCTATTAAATACGGATAAATTATTAGCATGCACATAGTACATCGGAATGTTGGACATCGTGTAATTTTTAGATATGTCCATCTCGGGTGAAGTTGGATGTGCAAAAAAATCAGGTCTATATAAAAGATTTAAACTTACCAATACTTTGGCAACTCTTTCTCACAACTACAGTGCTCAAGATATCGTTGGATATAAAGTAATCCGCAACTCGGGGAACTATCAAGGACACGATCCACATGACGAGATGTGGAAAAGCTGACAGCCAAGAGTTCTGAGGAAGAGGAATGATCAATTATGTTGCTAATTTTGTCAAGTTTTTGTATAAATATTCATGACGATATTCGTACATCCTTAATATCGAATTGGAGCACGGTACTGAGATAGGTGGGAAGCTCGGTGAGTAGCGTGTACAAACCCCATGCATGACCAACATGTCCAACTATAATTGCCCAAACTGGTAACGAGGTGAAAATCTCGAACCATGGAGTTGAAGCATTTTCCTGTATTTACGTATCATAGAATTTTTAGTTATGTTGCAAACTTGATGAAATACAATGCATGTATGCATTCAGGGTATTAATTACGAATCCGCATATTCGCAATCGCAACATAATTTTGAAAATATTTTTGTGAACTAAATATGAATACGAACTCATACAGTCATTAATGAATACGGTCATTAAGTCGGTTGATTTTGTAGCAAGTTTTGATCAAACCTCGTCCGCGGACTGGTCACCAATGCTCTCTTGAATATAGTTAAGTTCTTCTTCTGAGATTCTTGGATGTTCTGAAGGCTTATTGGAAATGAGTATTGTCCAAAATATGAACCAAATGAAAGAAATTCCTCCCATTACGTAGAAAACGGACGGCCAGCCTCCCATTACTCCGGCATGAATCAAATAACCACTCCCCACCATGGTCACCGCAGTTCCGAATTGAGCACCTGAATCAAGTGGGGTATTCATTTCAAGTTCGCATGTTCGCATTGAAACCTAAGTTTGGAAAAAATGCAAACTACTCTCCATTCGCACCCAGTAGAACTTTTACAGAAATTGAGATTTCTAAGAAACTACTGCACTGCCAGTCTCAAATTCCCTCAAATTATGTATGCTGACGGGGTACTTTGAAACTGACAGTGCCGTAGGTTCTTAGAAATCTCAATTTCTGTAAAAGTTCTACTGTGTGCGAATGGAGTAGTACATACATAAATAATAACATTGGAGTTCGCAAATGAGTTTTCAATTAGATACAACCCATATTTTTTAGAACTTGGTTTCTTGACTAACTTTGCTAACGACGCGAACTTGTAATTAATTCCCTCAATAAGACAAGAATACAAATAAAACAAGAATATGTATACTCACAATGTGTTAATTTAATAAACTGGGTAACAAACCTGCATAAACTATGCCGGCGAGTTGACTCCTCTCGTCTGGGGGCGCCCAGTGGGCAAGAATTTCATGCATAGCGGGCACCGTAAGTCCCTAAAAATAAATTCGATTTTAAGAACAGTTGAAGTCTTACAAAACAGTAAAAAAAATTCCACACTTTAAAAAATGCTATGTATGGTCTTCAAAAAATTGAAATTTTAACTGCCCCCGCAATCATCATTTATCCCAAAATTGATATCAATTATAAAAAAAACTACGCACCTGCCCCAAGCCCTGCATCACTCTACAAAATATGAGAAGATAGGTATGCGTCCGGGCACAAATTGGGGACAGAATTGCGAATACAGCGGTAAACAAGAGTCCCAATCCTAGTGGCCATTTTCCTCCATATTTGTCCGCCAAAATGCCCCCTGGAAGTTGCGTGAGGACATACCCCCAGAAGAAACTTCCTAGGATAAAACCCTGTTCGGCTTCTGTCCAATGGTGAAATTCCCCAAGATCCGGTTCAGCCAAGTGGTCATCGTCCCCTTTTACGGAGTCATTCGACATGTAAGCGCAGGCTGACGGAGATTTATGAAATTGGCCCGCTTTTTTGGACCCCACCATCGCGACGATGGCGATGGACAAATTAAATCTCATACAATAAGCGACTGCAAACCCGAAAAATCCAAGAAATGCCATCGTATGTCGTGCCCCCCCATCCTAGAAAATTGTGTTTTTAGTTGTAAAAATACATATATTTCGAATTTATTTATGAGACAAATTATAACTTTTACCTGGAGGATTAACCGGTTTCGACTTCTTGGTATGGTTAAGCTCTAGTTGAAAATTGTCGACTATTTTTTCCGTCATTTTTCTAAGTATATATTTATATTGTTTGAGTACATGTGTCAATATTAAAAGTCACAAAAAAATCTGAAACGATTATTTTATACTGACAATTAGCAACCAAATAGTCTTCCAGAAAATTTTCCAAGAAATTGAGACTACTAATGTTGGCAAATATGTACACTTGTCGTGCATACGATGATCATCGTTCCAGTTAACTTCAAGAACTGAGAATGAGCTTGTATACAGTTTATTGTTAGTGACGAGGGTGACGACGCGTGCCATACATATATTTAGATTTAGGCAGAAAACACAGATAAGAAATAAATGAATTGAATTGAACAAATTGGACCGAAATAGATGTGTGTCAATCAAGAGATGTGTGTCTATGTGTGTCAAGAAGAACCAGTTTTAACATATACGCATGCATCTTGTGCCTAGATTTTTCTTAGTCAACTTACTGAAGCAGTAAGATTTGGGCTGAGAACTATGTAATCATGAGATAACAAGTGAAATTTAAAATGGTGGTAATAAAACTTGGTAAAATTTACAGAAATGTGATTATAAGCAAAGATTTTGACAAATGATTTTAAACAGTTTTTAAATATGCATGAACATACATACATGCATACATGTGTGCAAATATTAAAAATAAAAGATGAAATCTGCTCATAAACTGAAACTTGCATGAAATCATGTTGATATTGAAGGACAGTAAAGTATGAATTGGAATAGATACATAATAATACTGCGATGGTCATAGATTAGAGGCTTTTATTTTTTACACGTAAATTTTAGCTACTGAACTTAAGTACCTTATTGTATGCTAATTACCTAAAATTCCATAGGTATATTAACCCCATCAAAATATTAATACCGATAAATTATAATTTGAACCAGAATAATAAATATAAACTTCTCAGACGATTGAACACGGGCAGTACGACTTATCATTATTCCCTTCACTCTCATCCAATCCATCCCCAACGTCCCGACTTGCCCTGAACTCACTCTCTTTCACTACCGCCAGAACTTTCTTAGTTCCCGCCACTAGGATATGGTCCTCCCCGAAAATCCGGGCATACTGCAACGCCACCTTTTCCAGTTGTTCAATCCCTAAAACCCGCTCTTGTTCGATCTGCGTCATACAATAAAATAGAAGCCTCTTCGTATTTAAAGTTGACGGATGGAGGTCACCACCCTCTAAATTGTCGCATTTCCACGTGGCCGCAATTTTCAGGGTCATCTTAGCCTCCACAAATCTCCCCATCGCAAGCAGACAAAAGCCTAAATTATGATCTAAATTTTGCGTTTCTGGCGCCTGCTTTTCCAACACGGAGAGCGCAATGGCTTGATGACACCGCCAGTTTAAGATATCCTCGAAAATCCATAAGCTCGATTTTTTCTTGACGGGAAAAGATTTATCTTGTTTCGAAAATATAGTGGTGGACAGTTTCAGAATGTCCCTCCGGAGACGGGAAGCGGGTATCGCTTTTCCCACGTGGTGGAGACAAATGGCGGTAAGAAATCCGATCACGATGGGATTTACGTCGTCCGCCTCCATCACGATTTTACTCGCGTTATAAGTTAGTTCAATGACAGAGATAAATTCGGTAAAGTTTTTTCTGTCGTCGAAAGCTAATCTGATTTGGGATTGCTTCCGTAAAATTGCATCTCGCACGGGAGGTGTGCGAAATGGGGCGGAATCAAAGGTGGAAGAATTTTGTAGAGGGGTTGAACACACGTTAAGGACGGTGTGGCAAATGAACATGGGGAGTGGCTTGAGCTCTTCTTCTAATGAATTTCCCGCGTTTGCAAATTCCCACGTGTAGTAGAAATGGATCAGTTCCGGGCGTACTTTGAGGGAACCGTCGGCTAAGGTTTTTCTGGCGAGGTAGCCCGTCAGTTTTCGTAGGAAATCGAGATGGTTGCAACAGGATTGGTCGTCTTGGGGTAGATTTTCGGGCGGCGGGGGCCTGCAAAATACAAAATAGGACTTAACAAGTTTCTATTTTAAGCAGCACTTTTCAAATATTAAAAAAAATTTTTTAGTTTGTTTCAAAACCCAAACGACACTTTAAGAATTAGTAGGAAGGTCTAAAAATATAAAGCAAAACTTAAAGTACAAAAAATATGCACTTTGCAAGCCTATCTTATTGCGAAGGTAACAAGCTGAAATTTGTACACTAAATTTTCATGCAAAAGCTAAATTTATTATTAGCTTGTGTACATAAATAAGAAGCTTTGCATTTACTTGAGAATTTACTGTAAAACCCCATAATTCGTAATCTTTCTAATAAATAATCCGCTTTCCTCACCCGTAATAAATCTCCCGATTATGCACCTTTCTCCTCACCGCGTCCTGCACTAAGCGATGCATCGTCAAAATAGAATCTGCACACTGAACGAGCAAATATCTATGCAGCAAATCTAACGCGTTCTTCGCTTTTGTCGTCGATTCGAAAAACTCCACCGGCATTGCCTGCTGTTTCCGGGCCGTAATCGTCTCAAAAATAATATGATACCCAAGCTCATCCGAATCGAAGGATGCCATCGTATCCACTTCCTGCACAAGTAAGAACAATAACTCATCCTTCACACCGGACGGATCCAGATAAGCCAACAGTATCAGCAGCTTCATGGCCAGGTCACCGCTTTTCTTGTCACGGCGGATAGCGTCAATGTTGACGTCCCAAGATTCGATGGGAACCGTTTGGCGACGACACAATTTGAGATAGTCTCGCACTCCGAAGCCACCACAGAGCATGTAGCTCTTGTCCTTAATGTAATGCACGGCTTGTTGCAGGTGCAGCGGGAAATTTTGAAATTCCTGCAGCAACTGGTGGACATCTTGGTCAGGCGTCTTCTGTCCCAGACTTTGTCTCACTAGTTTCGTCGCGTCTTGAACGGACATCGGGAGCAGGCGAAAATGCTCGCCGGATAGCGATTGTAGCGTCATGTTGTCGAATGAGGTGACCAAAATGCGAATTGTGACGAACGGGATGGAAACGTTTTTTAGTTCGGTGATAAACTTGAAGACGAGTTGCGTATTGGCGGAATTGTCGACGTTATCGATGACGATTAGGGTCGTTTTGGAGAAAAATGCTAGATTTGATAGGAGTGGGAAAATGTAGGAGACCGAGTTTGAATTTTTTGGGGTGATGGGTATTTTCAACTGGGCGGCCAGCTGGGCAAGCAAGCTGACGAGGGTGGCGTCACTTTGACCATGAAACCAGAGGCAGTTTCCTTGCTCGCGGGTGCAAAAGAGGTCGGCGTAGTGGCGACAGAACTCGGTTTTTCCGACGCCACGAAGTCCCGTGACGATGACGAGGTTTTTGGCTTTGAGGAGGGTGGTTAATTCGGTCAGTTCGGATTTCCGGCCGACAAAGTTGACCAAGGATTTGGCAAGGCCGAATCGAACGGGGGAAAAGATGGAGGTTGATGAGGGTTTGATTCCTGATGTGATTTTACTTGTGGGGATGAAGGTTTTGAATTTGTCTGAAATACATGATTAAGTCGCTTATTTTAAGGTTTTCGAGTTTTAACTGGTTGATAATACAAAAATATACATACATTTTGATTTATGTAATGTGCATAATCTTAAATATCTCTACATTTCATTGTCAATTTTAAATAATTAGACAATTCATGCAGTCCTTGTTAACATCGTAAAATCCGTAAATTTTGTAAGAGAATTTTGCGAACTTTTGCAAAATATAAGTTACCAAGTGAGCTGCCTAAAATGCCTCGGCTGCTTTCATTAAAAAAGTAAAAATAAAGCTTGCCAATTGCTAAATAAAATTCTCGCAATAAACCGTGCAATAAAATTGGTTTGTTCATCAGCTCTTGAGATAATAGGATTTTATCGGGGCGTGTGTGCACCATTAAGTAATTAATTATTAAATTCTCTACCTGCCAACGATACGTATTTCGCTTGTAAAAGCACTTGAATCAGGGCTTCAATTGTAGCTGCGTCTCCACATCGGGTCACCCAAAAGAGTAGCATCGTCTCAAAAAATCCTAATCTCGTCATGTTCCCATTTTCCACGGCTTGTTGGTAGGGTGCATAATCAATGTATCTCACGCCAAGGGGTCCACAAAGAGAGAGATAGTTGGATCCCGTCAACAAATTGGCGTCAGTTGCAAGTATCTGCGCGACACTTTTAACATCGGGTGCTAAATACATGTGGAAAAGATCAAAATTTTGAAATTTAAATTTTGAGAGGATAAATTTTATATTATAAAATCCATATTGCAAATTAGCACCTCCATTTTTGGCGATTGGATTATTGGTTTGACTTGCTCTAGTAGGGTTGTTGTTGTTCGGGTTACACGATGCCTAAAATTTACCAAATTAAGTAAAGTTGAGTACATACTTTTTTTGTAAAAATAAAAAAATGTATGTAACACGATATTTAGAAAATAATTAGACATATTCACGTCAAATTTCGAAAAATAACTTTTCGGGAAATTTTTGTTAGGGAAATAATGCATGAAATTGTGTGAAAATTTACTCCGCAAATTGACGTTATTTGCAACACAATTTTTTAAACCACGTGCTACATATGTGCATGAGTTGTAATACAACTTAAGCGGTTGCCGTAACTACGCCCACCAGAACTTTCAATTATTATCTACCTAAATGATTTTTACCTGATCATACAACTTTCCAAATTCCGAGCACACTTGCTCCGCCGATAACCTCGCTTCCTTATCGGGACAGATCATCCCCTCAATAATTGCACATTCCGGTTTAAACCGCTCCTCCAACCTGCCCAATATTTCCTTAACCTGGCTCACACGAAAGACACCCTGTTCCCCACTAATTTTCTCCAGCACCTCCACAAACATAATTCCTAACGAATAAATGTCCGATTTCTGACTGCATCCCTCATCCGGACTTCGATACTTGCGACACCCCGCGACCGACATGTCCTCATCTTCATCTTCGTTAACCCGGGCATACCCGAAATCTCCAATCTTCCAAATATTTTTCGACCGGAATATATTATCCGGTTTTAAGTCGCGGTGAACCACGTTGTTTTCATGGATGACCTTGAGACCTTGGCACAGCTGGGGGAACAAGTCGGACTGCGACAAGGTCACCGGATGCGCCGAATTGAGCACTGATTTAAGCGTAATTTCACAAAGTTCCATCTGAATGAGAAGATAATTGTTGGTCGGGAGAAGGGGGACGTTGACGTTGGTGGAGGACGCGTTGTCCGGAAATGTGAGGGATCCATTCTTTATGGAATCGCAGTTTGGTCCGTCCAACCAACACGTGTGGTAGCGGACCACGTGGGGATGATTGATGGCTTGGAGGGAGCGAACCTCGTGGAAAATGGAGTCCAAATTGTTTCCAAAGTGGGGGAGGACTTTTGCAATGCAGACTTGTTTGATGGCGTAGTGACATTTGTCTATCGTATTGATGGCTTTCCATACAGTGCCGAAGCATCCACGGCCAAGGGAAGGGGGGATTATGGTGAAGTCGACGTGGCGTGGGGGTGGCAGGTAGGATTCAGTGGTGCTGGCGGTCATGGCGGGGGGACGGGTTTATGTATGTACGTACTTCTGGGGAGTTGCATTGGCTGAAAATACATAGATATGAAGGTTAAAGGTTGTAAATTAATTTACAATTACATATGTATGTATTTGTGGTCAGAAATTGTGCAGGTATATATTGAATATACACTCTTAGAAAGCTGGTAACAAATCATTACTCGCCGGGTACATACATATGTATATGACTACCGATATGGTAATAACGCGCATTACGGTGATAACAAATTTGTTTACCACACTCAGAAACAAACTAAATAGGTACTACCAATCCGGCAGAAAGTTATTAGCAAATAATTACCAGTATACATATACACATGACTCTACCAGATTTTTGATAGTGTACATATGTACATATTTATGTTAGGCAGTAAAAATGGGGAAAAAGGTTGGGAAGAAAGTGAGGGTAGTAAATAGTGAGGGTATTCATTATTTCTTCGTATCCTTAGTATTCTTCGTATCGTAAAATAACTTACGACGCTTACGAGATTTTGTAAGCGTCGTAAGATTTTCTCATCGAAAATCGCGTTACTACGCTTACGATTTTTACGAAACCTGACCCCTTGTTTTATCTTCGTAAACTATTTTACGATACTACGGATACGAAGAAATAACGAATACCCTCAGTATTTTACCTTTTATTTATGGTTTCGGTATGTATTTATAAATAAAGTTTAAGTAAGTAATTCTTCATAGGTGTGCAACACCCATGAACGTACACGTGGTCGTGGTAAAACTTCATACCGTGCGTACAAAATTCTAAATAATGGAAATGTTTAACGTGAATCAAATTTGCACGTTTTTTTGCTGGCGAATTAGCAAGGACTATATGCAGCTGAATGGTGTAAGTGTGTACTGATGGATGTATGTACACGTGCATGTATGTTGAGATGAACGTATTTATAAGTTAGTGGATAAACGACGAATGTGAACAGAACGGGTAAGATATAAAGATGAGTTTTATATGTGTAGATGGATTGCATGCAATCCGACGTATTGCAAAAGGAGTATTAGCGTTTGAACAGTTTGATAAGTGAATTTGACCATTATTTAACACAAACACATCATTCTCACACAGATACATTTCTGCATAAATACATACGTGCCTACATATGTATGTGTTACTGGAGGGTGTTGAGTGAGAGATGAACCATGCAGAAGTGTTAGATAATTTTTAGGGTTTCTATTCCATCGTTTTTGTGCAAGACTTACATATGCATATAAATATTTTTGTGTCAGACAAACGTTGACATGTGACAGACTTCAGACATGTGTATGCTGGGCATTGCTGGGTGAGCGTCTCAAGTATGTACATATGTATGCAATTGGAATTTAGCCATCAATATTTTTAATTACCAATTTTTTATTATTACTTGTTAATTGTTATTAAAAGTCGGTCAATTTCTTAATATAATGCGTATCGCAGCATGCGATTCGCAGGTCAAGAATGCCCTGATGATTTAATACTAAAAACACAAAATATGCACGATGCAGGATTAGAAAATCGTATGTAACCCTGATTTCACTCCTGTGTACATACACATACATGCATATGTACATATGCCTAAAGCACACACAACTTATGAAAGTGCAGATTACTTACTACTTTTGCCTGTCATAAAAATCTGTTCACTTTTAGGATGGACACAAGGCGTCAAGTTCATGTCGTTATCTGCATAAGTAGTGGTGTCCGTTCTGACTCGAACGAGTATGTACATATGAATTAAATGTTGATTTGATACATATACATACATACTAATTGAGCAGGCTTAGGATAAGTGACAGGATTTGCCATTTAGGATGATCCCCACTGCCAAAGGCTACCGTTCACAGCGTTTGATTTTTGCATATTTACATATTGCACTAAATTTCAAAAAATTCAAAAAATAGGCTTCACATAGCGGCTCAATCTTTTACTAAATATACACACGCAATTAAGTATAGAGATTTTCAGCTACATACATACATATGTACATAGATGGCCTTTCTTCCTTGCATTTTTATGTAGCACTCATGTAAGGAATTATACCTAAAAAACAATTTCTTGCAAGTGTTTTTTTACGACAAACTGACAAACATTACGTGTGCAGTTTAAGAGAGATGTTTGATTCAATATAGATGCACATACATATACAATTTTAATTACTTTATATCATTTTATATATGTACTTGTTTAGACCATGCCGATAAGCTTGGAATAAGTATGTAGATAACATACACAAGTATTTATTAAGTAGCTTCAGCTACTTTATGTGAAGACTTTGTCTGTCTGTCTGTCTGTCCGTCTGTCTGTCAGCAGGATATCAGGAGAACGGATCGAGATAATCGAAATCGGTTTTCGCCATCATACATAGGACCCCAGGGGGAGGATCCTATCAACTTTTGGGGGCAACCGGACCACACCCCCTTTGGCGACAGGGGGTGTGGTCGGGGCAAAATGAGATTTTTAGTGCAATTTAATCTATGGGTAAAATTAAGTGAAATTGAGTGAAATTAAATGAAATTAAGTGAAATTAAGTGAAATTGAGTGTTTCCCCGATTTTGCCGCACCCCTTCGGCGACAGGGGGTGTGGTCGGGGCAAAATGAGATTTTTAGTGCAATTTAATCTATAGGTGAAATAGAGTAAAATTATGTGTTCCGGAGTTGTGCCACACCCCCTCGGCGCCAGGGGGTGTGGTTGGGGCAAAATGAGATTTTTAGTGCAATTTAATCTATGGGTAAAATTAAGTGAAATTGAGTGAAATTAAATGAAATTAAGTGAAATTAAGTGAAATTGAGTGTTTCCCCGATTTTGCCGCACCCCTTCGGCGCCAGCGGGTGTGGTGGGGGCAAAATGAGATTTTTAGTGCAATTTAATCTATAGGTGAAATAGAGTAAAATTATGTGTTCCGGAGTTGTGCCACACCCCCAAGGCGCCAGGGGTGTGGTTGGGGCAAAATGAGATTTTTATAAAAATTAATCTATAGATGAAATAGAGTGAAATTAAGTGTTCCCGAGTTGTTCCACACCCCCTCGTCGCCAGGGGGTGTGGTCGGGGCAAAATGAGATTTTTACAAAAAATTAATCTATAGGTGAAATAGAGTGAAATTAAGTGTTCCCGAGTTGTGGTGGGACCGTTTGGGGTGAAGTACGTCTGAAGCTACTTCCGTATGCGCGTTTGCGACGGTTTATTTATATAGTGGAATTATTTGTGCTCGTCACCTCATGATAAGTAAAATGGTATCCGTCCATACATACATTGTTAAGTATTTAGTTAGATTTGTGGGGTTTGATGTGATGAGAAACAGCCAACAAGTGGATAACAAATTTATTTGTGGAATGAGATTAGCTTGAAGCTAGTAAATACAGATTCTTCGTTCATTGAAAAAAATTAACCTCAATTAAAAATTAGTTTACTCAAATTTTGAAGGTCATGCCATCACATTAAAACTTTGCGCTAAGGTAAATATTGGAAGTACTTTAATTTATTTGTAATACACATACGCATATTTGAAAATGAACCGCCTTTTATATTAATAAATATGTATGTAACAACCTTAAATTTAAAAAATTTAGCTCAACCATATAAGCCGTTCACTAAAAAAAGTACAAACATACAATTTTACCCAGTCTCAAAAGTTACTTGGCCAACATATTCAAAATCATCTATTAATCATCAAACCACATTGTAATTTTTAAAGGTGTCGAAATCCTTAAAGATCCTGCTCAGTCCAAAATATTCGAACTCCGATTTGTCCGTATAGTCCCAGTACCTATGAAAACAAGGCAACAATACGGATTCAAACCAGAAAAAGGAATATGAGATTATTTAATTATTCAGATCCTGCATACATACATGTCATGCTCCCACGTGTTCTCATCCGCATTTCGCCCTTCCGAACTTATTGCTGGATCCATTTCCCATTTACCCGTCGTGGCGTCCTTCGTTACGAGAAAATCCGACGGGGGGTATTTCCTAGTCCAACCTGCCCGTTTCAGAAAGTCCATCACGTTGTTCTTCACACTCCTACTTTTGGGGCCCAAGTCCCAATCCAAGCACGCAATTCGGATCATTTCGATATCCTTAATCTTGAGAATATTGTTTACTAATTGGACTGATTGAGCAGACATCAGAGTCTCCTCTTCGGGGGAAATCTTCCTCCTCTTAGGTGCCTTTTCATTTTCTTGTTCAAAGAGAAGAGCTGACTGGTCCAGTATTTTGTGTCCAAACGAAACCTTTCTCAATTTTGGAAACATCTCGTGAAAATGAGCATAAATTTCAGGAGAGAAATGACAATTGGTAGTGTAAAATTCGGTTAAATTATGTTTCACGATGTTGGCAATGTTGTCTTCGGGATGGACGACCAGGGCGGCCTCGCAGACAGAGAGCTTGACCAATTTATAACCGGAAGTTAAATCGCGGTTGATGTCGATGACCGAGATTTCCCTGATTGGAGAATGCTTGTCTGCCAGTTTTTTTGGGGGACCCTTCGTCCAGCAAGAGAGACTTTCCAGGTTGACGAAGTTCCAAAGGAAGTCACCGAGCAGGGAGGGCGACTCGTCATCGACGCCCCACAGCATGATATCTTTGACCGGAAATCCGGGAACTGTCCCACGAACTGAAATCCAATAAAAATGAAAAAATAAAAATTGAAATATATACAAATCCGAATATATATACATATATGTAATGTATGTGTAGTGTGTACACGATTTCCACATAAAATCGGCAAATAGGAAATCTCAAATTGCAATGAAACGAATTAATTTAACTCTAAACTTTGTCCCGAAAATGTACGGAAACTGTTGTGAAATGCTGTTAATATTACAATAACGGTGTCATTTCTATTTTAATGATTTAGTCCGCTACCCCTCAGGCATTAAGGAATATAACTGTTTCACAATATGGCTCGTTTACAAGATAAAGATAGAATTAAGATACAGAAAAATCTTAAAGATTTCAAATAAGCGATACAATTGTTTATTTATTTAGCATGCACCTCATCTATCCTAAAGGCAACATTAATTTCAATGCGAATTTAGTGAAATGCTAAATTCCAAATTATTATTTACACTAACATTTTCGAATTTTTTTACTTACCATTTGCGAGTTTATTGTCCACGATGGTCAGCATGTTGAACCTTTCCATGAAATTCTTGTCCTTCAATCGTTCCAAGAACGGCTCAGAATGCCGACCACCAAACCCCACGATCACCTCCTCCTCAGCTGGCGACCATTTTAAGAAGGTGCACCCATTCATAATAACTTTGCAGTCGATGTTAACGTCGTCGTCTCTGTCCTCCTTGAAAAACAAATGCTTCTCAACGTCGTACTTTTTCCGCTGGAGAAGAATCGCATTGGGTTTTGATTTCAGTTTGGGAGGAATGTGCAAGTCCAACTCTATTTTTTTCAAGTGGGGGAGCGAAACGCGAGAAATAATTTTCCCTCGTAGCTGTGCATCCGTTTCTACTGTGCATATAAGGATAAGTCCGGTCGTAGTTTTCGGAATTTGTCCAGCTTTCTCCAGCATTTCATGCCACGTTTGGGAAACCAGGTTGACAGCTTGGTCTTCATTTTTAATCTGAACCATGAAATCGTCGTCACGGTTGATAGAGTCATCGACGAAATTAATGAGTGGCGTTGCACTGCGGGAGGTATCGAAGAGCATCGGAGATTCGAATTTGACAATGCTATAATCAATGTCGATGTCATCATTCGTTTGATCGACGCCCTCCCCCTCGTCATCCTCGTCTTGCTGACTGATTGCAGGTGCACGAGGTCTGGAAATGAAGCGCCGTAGGCCGATACCTGCGCTTACGTAGGCCGATAAGCCCTTCATTTCTTCACTGGTCAGGACCTGAGAGTCATCTACAGTCGATAACTGTAACGGTGTCATTAGTGGAAACCGGATTTGATAAATTGCAGAGTCCAGAATATCTCGAAGACTAGCCGAAGAAGGAACAGCTTCTTGCTTGCGTTTCCCCCACCTGGGAAAAATATGAAGCAATTTATGAAGGATTATTTATTTAGGCGTCTAAGTATGCATGTAATCTTATCATTGTGTATTTTAATACCTTATAATCGCCTCAAACAATTTGATCTCTGGGCAAGCGAGGTCGTCCGATTGTAGCAAGTTTACTAAACAATTTTCCTCCAATTCCAAAAAGTCTTCACTTTTCAGATACATCTCCGCGTTTCGGTTTACTCTGAAAATTAGTAAGGGAGGATAAATGCAATAATAGGTTAAAATATATTCACGTCGTCGCCAAGGTTACTTTTACCTAATTAAGTAATTAATTAATTTAAAAACGCACCCGTCAATGTAAGCCGTCGCCATGTCTTTCAATGCAGATAATCCAAACTGGTTGGCATTGTTGAGCATTTGATATGCATTTGTCAGCCGGAGACCTCTGTCTAAAAGCTTCATTCTCATATCATCGCTTACTTTTTGGGGACAATGGCGATGTCCCAGTTTGAGAATAGTGACAATTTCGTTGTTCGTGTAGGTCGATTTGTCAGCAAAGTCTTCGGTGTGAAGATACTAGAAGGAACAGATACAGAAATAAAACCTGGACACATGAACACAGGGTTGCTCGACACTTTATTATAATACACTTTATTGTAATAGGGTTCGGTCGGAAAGTAAAGAAACATTTGAAAAATGCCTGTAAAATCCGGAAAACTTAATTAATTCCAATGACACTTTTAAGGGTTAAGAACAAGGTCCGTATCGTTCAATTTTTTGCTTCATATGGTCCATAGACCCCCATCCTTCCTATCTGGCGAATTATTTGCCTCGCGGTCCCCAGAAGTGCTTTGCCACTCTTTCTCGCTACCACTTTTGAGGTGTATGTCCAAATGTGAGGGAATCTTACCAAGTTTTTGACTGGTTTTGTTCGACAACTATATTCTCTCTTGCATAATGCCCAAAAACGTTAAATTGGTCTTGCCCGAGGGACGTAGGGAGCATATTCCTTTTTTGCAACAAAATCGATTTTTTTCGACCGCAACAAGTCCAGAACAACTTTTGAAGAATGACATGTTGCTGTGTCTGGTCAGAAAAGTACATCACGATTATTGATAAAGGGGATCAAGATCTTCTTTACACAATCGTTCAGATCAAGGCTGTATGGCCCGCTTCTAGTCCATTGCATTATGGCTCATCACTACCCGAGCAGCACCATAAATTCATGGTAAGTACCGGACATTTTTTGCTCAAAAAATTTTAAAACGAAAAATTTCATGTTTTTTGTTACCAGAATATATATCTAGATATATTACATACTGGGTTTCCGTTCGAATCGCTATAATTTTGGTTTTAAAATTTTCCTGAAAAATTAAATTGACTAAAATTTAATTTCGAACGGGAATTCAATAAGCTGTATGATGTAATATGTCTAGGTATATATTATGGTAGGAAAAAACATCAAATTTTTCGTTTTAAAATTTTTTGAGCAAAAATTGTCCGGTACTTACCATGAATTTTTGGTGCTGCTCGGGTAGTGATGAGTCATAATGCAATGGACGAGAAGCGGGTCATACAGCCTTGGTTCAGATATCTCTCCGAGGTCATGGTGGCTGTGGTCACGAACGGCTTTGAGACGTCCCCCAATGAGTCCAATGCGTGCCCGATTTTGTGCTTTGTGGGGAATTTTGACTTCGGCGTGTATTTAAAGGAATCTTTAAACGTTTTCTTATTAGTACACGAGTAGTACTTCCTCGCAGGGACTTCATCTGGATCAATCGAGCACTTGGTCTCATCATCTACCAAAGGTTGATTTCTAACGTGGTGACGAATTTGTCGTTGAATAACCCTGGAACGGTTTGTCGTAGCGGGTCAAAATTTTGAACAGAGGAGAATGTTATCCTCAGATAGTTGTGTGCAAAAATTCAACTCTCTACTTTCAAAAATGCCTCCCCCACAGCCCCCTGAATTTGAAACACTCATTTTTACTGTTTCCAAACTCCGTCTAAAAAATTCGGTCTCCGCAGAAAATTTTTTGTTTTCAAGTATCCGACCCCAAATAAGTCCATTTGACTTACATCGGGGGATTGTACAGGTATTTCACTATTCGAAGTGATTTTTATCCCCAATCTAGCTTCAAAGTCGTTGGCATTATCATGGGTCAACTTTGCCGTCTGGGAAGAAGCTCCGTCATGATGAAAAATCACCTTAATTATTTTTTTACTTTGCAATTTAGGAAAATGTAATTCTAAAAGTGGTTTCAGTACACGGTCCACATAATACTTCGAAGATTTCTTCACTTTCTTGGGGACTTTGATAAGTGAGAGGACACCACGACCCGACATTGCACTCACGACCATCAACTGTTTAAAAAAGTTCTCCTTACAAAGAAGCACCAACTTGCGTGATTTTTTTCCGGCATTAGTCGTGTAGTAAGCTCTTCGAACCTAATTAGTAACTTATAGAGAAATTAGTGCTTCGTCAAATGTCACAAATAACTCACTCCTATTGCTTCACAGAAAATTCGAATAATTTTTTTTGTAAACACGGGCGCGATTTTTTTCCTGCTTTTCGGTCAGCTGATGCACACGACTTTACCGACCAAGTCGTTTCTTCAAAATGTTAATTTATCTTTTCACTGAAAGCTAAGACATCCCAACCTTACGGGAAATTTCCTTTTGGCTCGGTCAATTGTCTTTGGAGGTCAATAGGTCAATTTTCCTATGCACGGTCGGAATTAACACTTTTTTTGCCTTCTTTCAGGGGGTGGTGGTTGCCCTTTACTCAAAATTTATCTATTTTCACCTATATTTTTCAATACCTTATTGATTGTAGATTTCGAAACTGTTTTCCATTCACTTTTAAAATGCTTAGTAATTCGGTTGTATGAGTATTTATGTTTGGAAACAGTAAAAATGAGTGTTTCAAATTCAGGGGGCTGTGAGGGAGGCATTTTTGAAAGTAGAGAGTTGAATTTTTGCACACAACTATCTGAGGACAATATGCTCCTCTGTTCAAAATTTTGACCCGCTACGACAAACCGTTCCAGGGTTATTCTACGACAAATTCGTCACCACGTTAAAAATCAACCTTTGGTATGACCAGAATCACGGGCATGTTTTGCTTGACTCGTTTTTCAGCAATCTGCCGAGAGTTGGACTTTGCTCTTTTTTGCTGACCTTGGTTGTACTTTGGTGCAGGTGTCGCCCTATTGGATTTGACCCCCAACTTCCTAGGTTTAATGTCATGTAAACTTCATTTTGATATTTTCAATTTGTAGCCCAAATTACTATCTGATATCCAAAGGTTATTTTTGTTTTCCTTCTGAACTCTACATATCACTTTGGGGGTCGCTACACGAGCAGGACGATTTTTTAATATTTTGAATTCAGCATTCCTCCTCCCCTCATACATATCTAAAACTCTGCAAATTGTCCCATTATGAATTTTTTCTTTTTCGAAGTGGCTATTAACATTATCCGGACGCGCTCGCACACTTTTTCGTAGTAGTGGCAAAATTTTTTTGCGAGTTTCTCTGAATTTTTTGTTCTCATTTTTGAACTAATCGACTTCCGGTTTTCTGATTTGGATAGTCAATCGCATGGACTACAAAACTACCGCGTTCCAACTCAGTGACAATTTTTCTTTCAGACAAATAAATATACTTTTTCAAGTGTTTCTTTACTTTCCGACCGAATCCTACTAAAGTTGTCAAGCAACCTTGACATGAACATTACACAATTCAAAATTTATCATTTCATTTCATCACAAAATTTTCATGACTTTACCTCCACCAGACGTTTAAAAGCCACGGGATCTTCTGTCAGTGTGACGGCATTGTAGACCGCTTTCTCCTTCATCAGCGCTCGCAATTTTGAAGAATCTTTCAACCTCATTTCGAGTGCACCTTCAACGAGTCCTGTCGACCTTCGAACTGGATCGTAAAGTCTCGTTCACAGGAGGACTCAAAACGAGCTGCACACAAAGACGAGGACGCTGAGCCTATGGCGCTTGATGGATTCCTATCAAAAATAAAGTTACCTTCTTTGAAATTTTTATTTTTGCGAAGACACGAAATTTTCTAAAATATTCACGAAATAACGATAAAATATTTTGGCGTCATATATTGTAAAATATCTGTCTGGAGCTGCAATTGTAAACTAATTATCACAGTCTAATCAAATTTGGATTTTTGGCTAGCCCCACGAGCCCGCCACACCCACTCAAAGAGGTCAAAAATTGAGAAAATCCACTTCTTGTTTTGGATAATTTTACTCACCTTCCACAATACTTTAGGTAGCCTGACAATTCTTCTTTGTTGTTTGGCGGTGGAGTAGGAGCAGGTGCGATCTGGTTACCGGCTTCTTTGTCAGCGTCGTCACGTTGGTGTAGTGGTGACAACTGAAAAACGAACAATTCATCACTACGACTTATATTCAAAAACTCATAATTACTAAGACTTTTGTCACAGTAGAACAACCATATTTGGGGGGTCTTTAGGCAACTGGCAAAAATTTTGGTAAAAAGTATTTCATGTCATAGTACGTTTGGGTTAGATGTTGGCATTACGGACCGGTTCGCTACTATAAAAGTTTGAAAGCGTTTTTCGTGCAGATAATAAATTTAAAATGACTCAAAGATATATGAAATCACATTGATAATAATTTTGTTAACTTACTAAATAACTTTTTAAAATGTAACCCTCAGGACCCGATGTCATGAGGCCCCTAGTTTTTACCTACCTTTCCTATATGCTATTTTCCTACCTGGTGTGCAATATCCATGTCCGGTTCCTCGAGGTCGTAGTTGTTGTCATTACTCGGTTCTTCCTCCTCATAGTCTGGCCGAGAGCGGCGCATAGAGGGGGTGATCAAGTACCGGCCATTGTACTTTGGTAGTTTTACCGGTTCATCACTGTCCCGCTCCGGGACCGTCTGAAGAAATTCCTCCCTCCTTACGGCAGCGCTCTTGAATCGGGTGGACTTGAGTACTTCGGGGTGTTGGCGGATTTCCTCCTTGAACCTTCCACTCTTTGTCGAAGGGAGGACTTTTCCCGTGATTTTGCGACGCTTAAATTCGTATTGCTCTTGGTCGATGGTGCCGTGGTATGGTCCGTAGAATCCCTGTCGCAGCTTGATTTTGGGAAGGGGATCGAGCAGTTGGTTAATGTCCTCCTGATCGTACTCTGTTTTGTTTTCGTCGTAAATCTGATTTATCAGGTCCACCATGGCCCTCCTCTTGCTGTTGGTCTCGACGTAATCCGGATGATACACATGATCGGGGATCACGAGTTTCTTCCTTCTCTTCTTTCTCGTGACAGTGTTCTTCTTATTGTTCTTGTTCTTGTTTTTTTTCTTGTTCTCGTTCTCCTTCTTTTTCTCCCTTTTCTTTTTCTCGTCCTCCTTCTTCTTCTCCTTCGTAAGGAGGATTTTAGCTTGACGTGACGAGCACGGTTTCGGAGAAGACGCAGACGGTCGTGCCGATGTTGATGATGGAGAGTCGGGATTCTCTGGTTCATCATCTACAAGAAATAAATTATTATAAAAATGAACATTATTAAAACATGATTGTTCTTAAAGTTTCAAATGACGCCGCCACCACAACTTTACACTCACCACTACTTCCTTCTTGTTCATCATCCTCATCCGACGACGAAGACGACGACGACATGGTATTTGGTGGTGGTGAAGTTGTTGATAATTGTGGGGGCGACATTGACTCTGGTGGTGGAGGAGGAGGAGGAGATGTGCTGCTCACTGGTCCTTCCACTGAAGAAAAAATCCAACCAAAAAAAAACACAAAATTATGCAAAATATCCAACATTCCGCAATGATTTTTGAAACTTTTAAACAATCCTCACCCCTATTTGTTGCCGGTTCTTGTTCCGACATTGTTGTTGTTCTTGGAGCTAGTGGTGATGGTGGTGTTGTCGTTCTTAATCTTGTTAAAGACGGGGGCGACTGGGGAGGAAGAGATGACCCTGCAAAAAATCAGAACAAATACAAGCATAAAATTGTGCAAAATATTTATTAACCCTTAGCCATGGGAGACCGTTTAAAAACGTTTTAGACTTTCTGCTTTAATTCGGGAGACCGTGAAAAGCCGTTCACAAAAAAAGTCTCTGCCTTCGGGGTCAACGGCTTTTCACGTTTTCACGTTTCCATGTCAGGTGCGGGACAACGGATATTTCCGTGGTAAAAATTATTTAGCTGATTCGGGAAACGGCAAAACACGTTGACACTAAAAACTAAAATTATTAGGGCCTTGATTCAGAATCGTCCGTGGTAACACTAGGTCACTTTGATATAACTTCGCCCCTGCTTTGCATAGGATGGGTTGCATGTAAAATTTTTGACTCTGGTTTACTAACTGCTAAAACTATTCAAGAAATTTATAACGGAAAATTATTGAGGCCAAACCACACCCGTCTCGTGTAATCTTGGTTTTGCCAGGACATGTTCATTTTTGCTAATTTTCAACGTTGATGAAAAACTAGTGGGAGAAATTAGTTTCGGGTTTTCCCAGAAGCTCGACAAATATTTTGGTTAGTACACCAACTATCTCAGCCAATTTATAAAGGTACAGGGGATTATTTAAGATTCAAAATATGAGGTATAACCAGCGTCGCCAATAAATAAACGATTATATACACCTACTATCAAACTCATAAATTATCAAATTGATCTCCTCGTCTAGGTTGAGGTCTTGGCTGCATTTAAAAATTAAAATATACCAAATGAATGCATATAGTTAGTCAGAACTCTTGATCCCAGTTAAAAAAAACCCTTATGTAGATCCACAAACATGTGTGGTTTTGGATCAATAGCTCCATTTTACAAATGTCTTGAGTAGTTTTGCAGTCATAATTTTGCACCATAGTCGTAGTTCATAACTCTAAAATTATCATGCAACTTTGCTTTACAATGTTACACTTAAATTTTAATACTCATCATTTTAAATGATATTTATTGACGTTGTCCCGCAGTTAATTTTCTCCTAACGTGTTTTGCCGTTCTCCCGAATTGAGCATTTATAAAATCGTCCCGAATCTAAGCAACTCATATAATAAATGTCTCCAGATTTAGAACATGTCAGATTTTAATTATTTTTTGGCTTCCCGAATGATCACAATTGTGGTCATCGAAACGCCCCGCAGCAACGCCAAACATAGTTACCGTTTCTCCTCGGCTAAGGGTTAACAACATTTAATGATTGTTAATAGTTCATAATTATCCTCCCTCACCTCTATTTCCCGGTCGTTCTTCTTCCAATATTCTTGGTGGTCGTGATGGTGGTGTTGACCGCGGTGGAGGAGGAGAGGAAGAAGAGTTGATAGTTTGTGATCCTTTAGCTGTAAAGTATAAAAAAAACATAGTAAATATAACCAACAAACTAGAATGTCAGAGTTTTAAAAAGGTTTAAAATTATTCTCACCTCGATTTTCTGTCGGTTCTTCTGACGACATTGTTGTTGTTGTCGTTCTTGATTTTGACGGCGACGGCGACAGCGACAGTGTGGGTGGAGGAGGATGAGAAGATTTGTTGTCTACTTGTCCTTCATCTGTTCAAATTAAAGAAAGAAATTAAAAAACAAAAAGTACACAATGATGCAAATATTCATCAACAAAATACAATGATTTTTTTAAAAATTGCACGTTACACCACCACTCTAGTCACCTCTATAATCCGCCGGTTCTTCTGACGACATTGTTGTTGTTGTTGCTTGTGATGGTGGGGGTGGTGTTGTTGACGAGGACAGCGACAGTGTGGGTAGAGACGACTCTACAAAAAATTAGAAAAAACACAACTATAAGATTATGCAAAATATTCATAAACAATGTTTTATGATTTTTTAAAAAGTTGCATATTATCCTCACCTCCATTTTCTGTCGCTTCTTCTCCCGACGACAGCATTCTTGTAGATGGTGATGGTGGCGACCGCGACCGAGGAGGAGAGTTAGTGTTTCCGGTATATTTGTCTGTAAATTACGAAAAAGCAGCAATATTAAGCAACGAAATAAATACCTACTAATTTGTATATTTTAAATTACACTCACCTATATTTTGGTTGCTGTTCTTCTCCCGTTCTCCAGCTTGACGTTTCATAAAAAGATTCAATGAACCGGTTACCTGCCACTGACACTTAAACATGTATTTTTCGCTACAATTGAATATCTATAATTGTTAATAATCTCAACACTATATTATGTTTTAAATTACAATGTAATTAACTTGTCGTTTCCTACTGCTACAACGTGACGACGACCGCGACGACGACAGACGAGAGGATAATGGCGTCGAGCGAAAACAGTCTTTCTTCAGTGAGAGTTACCCTGTCTGTAAATTAAAACACTCATAAACGATAGCAATTATTAAACGCAAGTATGTGTTCAATTTTTTTAAAGTACAAGTACTAAATAAATACACCTCCAACACACACAATCAATTTACTTACTCACCTGGACTGCCTGATGCCTGACTGGCTCAATATTTGTTTAACCCCGTCCGTTGATAAGACAGACCACTGACACTCGCACTATTTATAAATTACATCCATGATGTAATTTAATTAAGTGTGTTTGCACTAAATAATTGCTGCTGCTGCTGGCTGCTGCTGCTGGGATGAAACTCCAACGTCGACTGGCAGAGAGAGAGAGAGAAAAAAGGGAACGAGCGAGCGAGCGAGTAAAGACGAACGAGGACGACCACGACGGCGTCACCCCGATTCAACTTCGCCTCTCTCAACTCGTCTCATCTCGTCTCATCTCACCTCGCCTCCCTCCGTCCCTCATCACAGTCTTTCCTACATGCATATGAAATGGATATGCAGTAGATGCGTGCTTTTAAAATTAGTTATAACAAATTGGGACATAATTTATTATTTAATTGTTAGCTATTATGTAGCTGCAACTACTTTATGTGAAGAATTTGTCCATCTGTCCGTCAGCAGGATACTAGGAGATAGTCCTTAAATCGGTTTTCGCCATTATACATATGACCCCAGGAGGTGTGGTCGGGGCAAAATGAGATTTTCAATGGAATTGAGTTTGTAGATAAGTTAAATGGAGTATTTTCGCGATGTGGATGGGCTTGATTAGGTGAAGTTAATCTAAACCTACTTTCTCATGTGCGTCAAAGACAGTTTATTTTACTCTAAACTTTCTCAGAGTGACCATTTTTCCCAAAGAGCGGACAATGTAGTACAATTATCCCTTCAGAGTGACCATTTTCCCTTCAGAGTGTACCATTTCTTCGTAAGAGCGTACCATTTCCTCGTAAGAGCGTACAATTCCCACGTAAGAGCGTACAATTCCTTGGTTAGAGTGTACAATTTCCTCGTAAGAGCGTACAATTTCGCATTAGAGCGTACAATTTCACCTACAGAGCGCACAATTCCCTCGTAAGAGCGTACAATTTCGCATTAGAGCGTACAATTTCACCTACAGAGTGTACAATTCCCTCGTAAGAGCGGACAATTTCGCATTAGAGCGTACAATTTCACCTACAGAGCGTACAATTTCCTCGTAAGAGCGTACAATTTCCTCCTCAGACTCACCAGTTTCCCATGAGAGTGACCATTTGCCCTTCAAATCATTCAATTTCCCCTTCAGAGGGACCATTTGCCCTTCAGAGCGTACAATTTCGTTATTAGAGTTAGCATTCTGCCATTAGAGGGTACAATTCCAATTCAAAATCTGTGTTTGGGCTCTGAGACAATATATGCATTTTTTGGAAAAGGAACGACATTTTAAAAAAAAAACTCAACTTGTCCCCGCTCTAATGCGTGCATTAATGATGTTTTCCAGACTTTCTTGTTATTTCCCCCATAACCAACCCTCATTCCACGGGGAAATAACAAGAAAGCCTGGATAAAGTTGATAATGCACGCATGAGAGCGGGGACAAGTCGAGTTTTTTTTAATTTTTGGCCAGGTCATTATGTTAAAAAAAACTCAACTTGTCCCCGCTCTCATGCGTGCATTAGTGGCTTTATCCAGACTTTCTTGTTATTTCCTCCTTAAGCAAGCCTCATTCCACGGGGAGATAACAAGAACGGCTGAAAAAAGTTGATAATGCACGCATAAGAGCGGGGACAAGTTGATTTTTTTTTAATCGTGAAGAGGCTGAAGATTTCGATATGTTTGTTCTGGTGCATGGCAAACCGAGAACAGCTTGTTTTTTTAAAACGTAGTAAACACTTCGGCAAAATCCAAAATTCGGAAAATGGGTGAAACCAACAATCCCCATTTTTTACACATTATTGATGCATGCCATTTTTGTCAGCATTTTAGGTCTTAGAGTCCGCATTTCCCGCCTTAGACTCTGCATTCCCACTCTGAAACCCGAATTTTATTAATTTCTGGCTTGACTGATGGTTCTCGGGATGGAGTTGATGTGTCTTTGTTGGGACCGTGCACGATGGATGGGATTATGTATGATGGGATACATTTTAAAGAAATTAAATATACCCTTATTTATGGTATAACTCCATGATAAAAAATTCCACTACGTTGTTTTATAGGAATACATGTAACAACAATATGAACAAAGACGCAATTTATTCCTCTACATATATGTATATTAATAGTGTTATATGTTGTAATGCTCAATGGAGCACACTGCATAAAAAAGAAACACTGATCTAATAATAATAAGTCTTAGAATTTATAAATCATCGTCGCTACTATCCTCATCGCTACTATCCTCTTCATTATTATGATGGGTTGCTTCTCCTTCAAATATCTTAAACTTGGAGACAACCAAGTTGTTTGCTACCATGAAATTGAACAAACTCCTTTCAGATTCTTCGCCAAACTGTAAATAGAATAAATAAATACGAGACTAATTGATGTTTGCAGGCACAAAATTATTAAATCCTGACAATGTAACTTACACTGAGGAACGAAATAGTGACCTCGT